AGATGACTAATCAGCCTGTGAAAACAAAACAGTTGTCTTTAGTGAATCTGAAAGGTCTTTTCCAATGTCAGAATAGAATAAGATGATTATGCCATCAGGGGCTATCAAGTTGAACTGTGGGAAATGTTGTATCCAGTGTTTTTGGGGGTGTGGCTCTTACCAGGGGATTAAAAGACGGAAAGTAAATAAAGTCAGGTTTTTGTGGGAGGCCCTCAATCAGAAAACAAACATTTTTTAACTAAATTGAGTGTTATAGATATTGGGTGGATAATGTGTGTCCAGGAAAGAGAGTATTACAAACAAATTGTGTTTTTTTTTAAACATAACATGCAAGACAATCTCGAACCCTCCCAAAAAAAAGAAAAAGCATGGAAAATGAACATATGTCCAATTTAAAATCAGTCTCTCCCAAGCAATATGTTCTTGAGTTATCAGTTTCTCTCTGATCACAGGTTCAGAGCAACCTGTCAAGTACTTAGGTAAAACATCTCTGTTTTCAAAAAGGCAGGGAAACAAAGTGACAACAAGCCCACCCTTCAATCAGTCGTTTGCATAGACCTGTGATGCACTAATCCTATGCTTAGTTCCATCCCATAAACACAGGATGATAAAGAGAATCTGCTCTGTACAGCATTAGGGCTTTGGCCTCTGCTGTGTGTCTGACTTGGCAGCTTTAAGCCTGGAGGAAACCTTTACTGAGGGAGCCCAATCAGTCTCCATCTCCTGGATCAATATCCATTAGTCTGTAGAGTGCATGTGTGTGTGTGTATGTAAGTGTGTGCAGACCTCATCCTGGGTGAATGGGCCTGAGTCATAAATGCAAGCCCTGGATCAAATTTCTCTCCCCCCTTTCTTGCACTAACACACGTACACTGCAATGCTCATTCAAACATACAACCCAACCTCTTCATTCATGAAGTGCCTTTTTTTCCCACTGTGAATACCACACTATCAACAAGTAATAACTTTATGAAATCAACACTCCATCAGCCTCTTAGTCACCAGTGTAGCCAAAGATATGTTTAGCGTAGATAATAACTTGATGATTGACAACATGCCACAACAAAACTCCCCGTCTCAGAGCTCTGAGGCCGGGGTATTAATTCCAGTCTGGAAGGCAGGGGAGAGAGATGAGGGGAAGCGCATTTTTTTTAATAAGTTGTCATTATGCATTAGGACTGTAAGGGCCGACAAGAATAAGGGAGGGAGAAAACATGGAGCAGACATTGGCGAACGAACACTAGGACAGCAGGCAGTCGGACAGAGAGAAGGGAAGAAAGCAAAGAGGGAGGACATGGGAAAGACGAAGAGTAGGAATGCCAAAGGATGGAAAAAAGAGATGTGGAGCTGGGAATGGAAAAGCATAGCCTGTGGCAAGACACTCAAACCTGTGCATGTCAAAACAAGATTCTTAGATCTATAAGGAGGAATATCACGAGCAAAACAAAGAGGAGGGGAGAGCCAGAACGTGACACTGAAGCCTTCCAACGAGCTCATTGCACAAAAGCCATTGGTAGACTATACGCAGGCCTGTGGTGGTTTCACTGCCGGGTTGAACTCTGAGTCTGAAAGAGTTTCAGAAAGGATGTCTTACTTTAAAACTGTGTTTGAGTTGAAAAACTGTACAGCAACTGCTTTGTGCACTTCCTGTAGTATTCTCTGCTTCTCAGATTAGAAATCAGCCCTTGTCTGTTTTTTTGGGGGGTTTTTTGTATGTTTTGCTTGTGCAGACAATAATATAAATACTATGTGACTGCAAAGAAAGAATACAAAAATGGTTTGAATGCATTCAGTGCCAGTTAAGTTTTACAAAACTTTAAAGAACCAACAAGACACAGAGCAGGAAAGTGTTACTACAGCCATTTAACACGGTATGGAGACAGATTATGTACTTTAGAAACAAAAATCTAATCCCTCTTTGCCAAATCCAGTCTGCTGTGTACAGTAAATATCGGTCCACGGTTATCATTATCTCCAAATGTAGGTGGTCTTGTCAATCACTCTCGTGTTGCGCTCAGTGACATAACAGTAGTACTGATGGTGCCAGGTTCTCTCGGGGAGAACAACAACACTAAGGCCGCAGCTAACAATAATCAGCCGTACCACCTGAAGAAACGTGGGTCATATTTAACATAAGGACCTGCTCAGTGACACATAATCATTGCTAAGTGTAGCTTTAGGGGCTTGTTTAACAAGGTCTGTTGTTTTTGGAGGAAAAAACCTATACTCCTAAAGTCCTCAAGCAGCTTATGATAGCATTTTGACAACACATGGTTTATGATTGTAGCTGAGTGCCAGTGGGACATGTTTAGGTTTAAGGACACAAACAAATGGATTCCAATGAACTGTCAGGTTTAAGTTAAGATCTCGTTTAAGATCAGATGTAGTAGAGGTCTGGTTAAGGCCTGCTTTTTCCAAAGTACGGGTCTGTCCATTACTGTAGCGAGAGTAATGGGCAGAGAATGCTTCAAGTACAGACAGGCCTGACATGTTAATCATTCTAATTGTTAAATAATTGTGGGATTTTTTACACCGGCAGCAGAATAATAAAAGTGTATTTTTATGCAAGACAGACACAGATTCATGTTGTATTTAATCAACAATATATTTTTTATTATTTCAGAAGGATCCCCCCTGCTGCTCTACAAATGTAAGACAGACAAAAACAATTTATTAGTGTCACTTCTTCTGTTAAACAAACCAAAAAAAGTCAATTTAAGTGCTCTATTAGTAAATAAAAAGCTATTTCTAAACTAAAATATGAATCTATAGCAGATGGCCTTGTGGTAATAAGAGGAGGCATATCTAAACATTTTTAATTATGCAACAAATTAGCAGCAGATTTGATTAACAATGAGGCAGAAGGGCTGCAGCTGTGCACCATCAACAAAACATACAAAGTGTAGCTGCAAGTGAGTTACATGATGCCTCTCGCCTCTCTCCATGAAAGGAAGCCATCGGATCAGCTCAATACGGATACTGAACTTCCCTCTGTGGCTTATTATCTCGCTAGACACAAAACCACAGGAGCCAGAGGCTGGATGTCAATACTCTGCATTCTCCTGCTTGTTTACTCCCCTCCAACTCTGCTTCAAAATCTCACTTCCACCACAAAAGGTCCCACATGTGACAGTGCATTTCAACTGCCAGGGTTTTGGCTTGGGAATGCATTCCTAGGTTCTGTTTTTCAATTTCTCTCTTATGCCACAGTTTCATATTTGAGTATCGCACACTTATGCAAATGTCACCTGGCGAAATAAACTCCCCACTACTACTACACATACAAAGCACAAGCTTCAGCTATTGATCCATGGATAAACTTGTTTTAAATGCATATAAAAAGTAAGCTGCCAAAGAGAGGGGAGTTTTATGATGACACTGGCAGACATGACAACAGGCACCGGATCTAATTCACTGCTAGCTGACACTGAAAATAGCTGGAGGGTTATCTGGCATTTCCAAGTGCAGCCCATAAGCTCATAGACAGGCATTCACCCATGGATCACTATTTCATTCAACTGTATCTCAGGAAACTCCAATTACAAATATTGTGTTATTTTTGTACAAAACACTTACACTGATATGGACATGGAAATTAATAGAAAATAAAACATTCTTTAACATAGTTTCATAATGCAAAGTCTGCTGGGTAGAATAAAACATCTATATATTTCCCAGATCCCTTCATTTTTATTAGGACCACTTGAATTCTCATTTAAAACCCGTTTAAGAGCCATTGTTGCAGCCTTTAAAAATCACTGTAGGCCCGTGTTGGGACTTCAAGTCACAGTCCTTGCTGATTAATTAGCCTACTTAGCTATTGTTAGCGACATGAATATGCAAGTTTCCCACATATAATAATGTCTATAAGCAATAGTTCATGTGTAAATCACTGTCACTGACATTCTCGGGTGTTATAACAATCAACAGACCGTGTTATTGATAATAGGCAGCCCTTTTTGGCCTTGATAGCTATGTTGCAAAGCTAGCTTATCCTGCACAGTGCACACCCAGGCTCTATGTGCCACGCCATGTATTGTTTACATTGCTTCCACAGTTCTGCTATTTTCTGACAGCACAGAAAACGACAAACAATAAGTCATTGGGATAGTGGATTTAAAATACACCAATACTGTATCATGTTTTGTATTGAATACACATTCAAGCTGTTCAGATACACGAGAGCTTTGTCAACTCACTGGCAGGCTAGCGATGCTAAAGTAGCTAGCATGGCTAACCAAAGCAGACAGCCAGGATTCGCTGAATCTGATTCAGGATCACTAGCTCACAGGCTAATACTGGAAGCTAATATTGAAACTAGTTATGAACACCCAAGTCCATTATCGGACAGCTCTGACCTGCTTATTTTCCTTCCTCTCAGCAACGTCTACATGTTATGCACTGGATATATAAAAACATAATATATACGATATACGGATTTATATCTACGTTTTCATTTTAATTAGAAAAAGTTACTTGGATTCAATCGTGATGGGGTCTAGCTGTACGAAAAACATATGTTTGCAGTCCTTGTGTTTTCCTCTTTTCTTACATTTACTGGGTCAAACATACACGTTACAACCTCATTTTCACACCTGTCAGTGGTGTTAACGAGTTTAAGGAGTGTCATGGAAAGATAAAAACACAGAATAATGTATTTTTAAAGAAAAGTACACGGAGAGCTTTGACAAATCTAGGGGAGGTGTCCGAAGATGGAACTTGGAAAATTAGCGATGTAGCTAACGTTGCCCTGGCTACACTACTCTGAATCAAATACTGAAGCGTTTGTTTGATAAATGCATTCAAGAAACACATGTTAAGAGATTTCCACGACTACGTTAGTCATTGCTATATGTTGTACACTTCATTCACAACAGTAATTGGGCATTTTAATCCCTATTTTTCCCTGCACGAGCACCCAATGTCCCTAATTTGTGCACCAAGAGGAGCAGCTTCTCAGTAAATACTACTCCGACTATCCATCTCCTTTTTCGGCTTACCGTTCTTGAAGAACGCCGCAATTTCTCCAGCGTCCTTCGTCGTTTCCTCCGCTCCTTCCCCGGAGCTCATGGTTGCCACAACCCGGACCTGGAGCTCAGAGTCTCCCAAGTAGATCCCCCAAAACACACGATAGAAAGATGGCACAAAATCACTTCTGTCCCGAGAAAAGCTTGATTAAAGACACGGAGACTCGTAGTAGCTAGCAGTGCCATCTGCAAACCTCCATCTTGGGGTAACGTAATTGGAAACGATCAGCCGGGGGGCACCGGGTTCCTCCTCGGAGTGAAGCCGAGGGGAGAGTAGCTGTAGCGAGGAGGAGTAGGAGGAGTAGGAGGAGGAGGAGGGAGGGGTCGCTGCTCGGTGAATCTCCGTAAGCTTTCGGAAATGTGCAGACGGTGGGTCATCAAGGACCGACGGCAGTCACTGTGTCCGATTTACAGTGAACAGGGGTGGAAGAAGTACTCAGAAATTGTATTTAAGTAAAAGTAGAAAATACCAGAGTAGAAATACTACAAGTATAGTAAAATAGCATTAGCATCAAAATACCTTTGAATTGAAGTGGAGTAGAAGTCAATGTTCCTTACTTGTTTACACCACTGACAGTGAAGCATGGCATATTAAAACCAGGAGGGAAACTACACATGGATTAGATTATTAGAACAAACCATGGCTGTCAGTAGTGATACTTATCTCAATGACAGGCTTATTGTCTATTTAAACCAAATCCTCACTGTCACTGATGGGAAAATATCAAGTTTTAGGGAAGTTTAACAGACTATATGATTCATTAACTGTTGATTGTGCAAGTGGGTGAATGTTACTCATGCGTAAATGGAGGACTAGAGTGGTGAAACCTCCCGGATACAAACAATTCAAATAGAAAAAGTCAGCTGTTTGGTTTGAAGGAATTATTTTTATTTTCTTTGTGAGCCGAGGTGTGTTACTGAGGCCATCTGCTGGAGAATAAAAAATATAAGAATAAGAAACTTGTGCTTTTTTATTGTATTCACACAAAGCATGCTTCTTCTCGTTTATTGTTCCATCCTTCACTGTCTTTCAATCTTTTTTTTTAAAGAAACAATTCAAACAAAAAGCAGACCCACTTAATTAAATATTACAGATTATCAGTTTTGGACAAGATACTGTGCTATTGTAGATAAACAACGAGACCATTGTCCATTTTTATAACACTTTTATCCAAACACATGAAATAGAAACAGAGTGCCCTTTTCTTAACACCTTGGGTCTAGTCACCAAAGAAGAAACTCAAACAGTGTGTGCATGTCAGAGGCCAGGGCAGGGGATGTCCAGTTTTCCAGTGATTGCACCGCACTGATTGAAAGTCTGCTGTCTAGTCAAAACAGGATTTATTCCGACGCCTGTGTTACTGATCCAACATAATCAGGATAATGCTGCTGCTTACTTGTGGATTATTACACAGTGATCATCCACAGCTTGTTGGTTGTTACTAAGTGACATTTGGGGCCTCTTCAGCTAATGCCAAATAAATAGTTTCTGGAAGGTCCTCCTGAGTACTAAAAGCATCAAAGTTCCCCCACACACACTGCACTGCACACAATGATATGACTTTCAGTTTTGTATATAAACCAACTGAAATGGAAATGTAGCAGCATTAGAGTGATTTATTTATGAGACAGCATTATAATTGGTTTTAACTGGGAACTCCAACATAGAAAAGGACCTGTCACTGTAACATTTTCATTCAAAACAGTGGAGGACTGCAGAGCATATTATATGAATTGTTTAAATAACTGTTTAGCACACCTGATGGACTGTTTTTATCTGTTCTCTCTTTGGGTGCACATGTGTGTGTCCTCTGTCATTATTATTGGCTTCATTGCTTATCAATACTTCACAGATTCATTAACCAAAAACTGATAAGAACTGAACAAGTATGTAATAAAATATATAAAGATTGCTTTGACTGTTTACGGTCTTTTATACACATAAAATAGGTTTTATTTTGTAGATCTTGATGTATTAGTTGGTATGTCCAGCAGGGGGGAGGCTGATACAAGTGATCAACTCTTCTCCTCTTCCATTTAATAGTTTTGATCAAATAGCATGTACAGCATCACTGTTTTAAATACAAGAAAACAACAAGAAAGAAGCAGATGATTCAGGAAAAAAACGGCTTTCAGGGCCTTTAACCTTGAACTTTAATAACCCTAGCATATTAGAAATAAATGGTTGTCCGGGTTAGTTAAAATAATGTTTCTGTTGCTTAATAATAGATATGACCTTCATTATCACTGATCTTTGTCCAATGGATCCTCATTACCAGTTGAATCTGTGTTTCAGGCTTCATTGTGATACAAACTTCTTTCCAGTAAAATGTACTTTTAATAATATAAAAAAGCAATTCAATTGCCCTATAAATAAAACATCATCTGAATCAGGGGAGAAAAATATGCATTATGAGAAGAAGTCTCAGCAACACTGGTACCTCCTTTTAATAAATCAGGGCCATTGAATGACTGACCGCTGCCTTCAGGTGCAGTCATTCCCACTGTGTCGCTGCCAAATAGCAATATTGCCTCCTGAAATGTCAGCAGTAATTACTCCTGTGCTCAGAGACAACCTCTGAAATTAATGAAAGCAGGTGGTGATCATGTCCCCCCTCTACGTCACAGTTGTTGGAAACCTCTTGAACTCTGCTGCTGATTTTTTGGCAGTTTAATCAAACATCTGGGCACCACTGCTCTCAGTGAATTTCAAGGCTTTGTTCTGTGTGTGTGTGTGTGTGCGCGTGCGCGCGCGCGCACGTGTGTGTGTGTGTGTGTGTGTGTGTGTGTGTGTGTGTGTGTGTGTGTGTGTGTGCCACACAAATATGGTGTTTCTCTATGTAATGTCTGTATTCTCCAAAAGGGAAACAGCCAAGAGGTTTACCGGACCAATATTAGGACAATACCCACTTTTTCAGGACACTTTTATTGTAAAAAACACAGTTTTAGTGGCGGGTTAAAGTTTGTTTATGTCCATAGTGCTTATTTTGTGTGCCACAAATTAAAATAACAAAACTGTTTTTAAAATGTTGAATACAAAATATACTGGTTTTATCAGCATACTCACAATTCTCTTTTCCGTTTTTAAATTTTCCTGAAATATATTCTTTATATAATACATCTTTATATAGTGCTGAGGGACTGTGAGATTATTTATAGTCTATTTGAAGCCCCAGCAATTGGCTTTCTTGTCACCTATAACTGAAACACATATTCCACACTGTGCTCGAGGCAAAGTCTTTCCAGGGCTATAAATTGATTCTGCAGCAGATGCAGGGAGAGACCTTTCAAGGACCTTGAATTGACAAGTGTTATTAGAATAAAAGAAGACAATGGTGCAGGGATGACTATTTTGTAAAAACTCAATCAGCTAACAGACAATTTAATAGGTATTTTCCTTATGATTGAAGATATTTTGTTACTTTATCGAAGACATAATGTACAATCTTACAACAGTTCGATCCGTTTCTCAAAGGTCAACCTGTAAGTACACTTGTGCATCACATACTCCCTATTGAACTTTAGTTAAAGATATATCAATACAAATCAATAACATACTTAACATAGATACGTGAGTTACTCATCAGTTAGGTTATTATCTCATAAATCAGTTTCATATACAAATTGGAATTTAGCAATCATCTTATGAGAGTCGCCCAAAGTTGCCAAGTGAAAATAATGGAAGCGTTATCAATAATTGATGGTAAAAGCATAGCAGCTGTAACAACTACCTTAATAAACCCAGGAGTGGCTGTCCTCTTTCCGCTGCTTTTTTTTCTTTCTTTCTTGTGCCTCATGAAAAGGGGTGCATTAGAAACGATTATCAGGTCATATCATAAATTGTGCCTTTCGTAATTTCAAATAATGAAAATGTGGAGAAAGGAAAAAAATAATTCAACAAACGTATTTAGAGGATAAAAGCAGCATTGGTTGGCTAGTATTCCCACACATTGATTTAATAACAATGGACATCTCAATGTGTCATGCTTCAATGTAAGGACATTTAAGATAAGATAAGACTTTATTTATCCCGAAGGAAATTGTTGTGCCAGAGTAACAAAAATACAATAAACACAGCAGCACAACAGAAAAACTGTACACTAAAAGTGCAGTAAAAAGAGCAATTAAACATCTACAGAAAACATGAAACATAGATGGTCACACAATCAATGCAATTATTAGCAGTATTTAGTAGTGCAAACAATTAAAACGTAGTGGCAGTTACTTAATTGCACGTTATCATAGCATATTATTAATAATAATAATATTGCACATGTTATATAGCAGCGAGTGT